TGCTAAAATGTTTTCTCCTGCAGCAGTCTCTCTGAAGACAGAGCCTCTCCAATTTGCTAAATTTGAGCCAAATTCAGCTGTGTTGGAAGTGGATCCAATTTGGAGTTTGCCCAGGCTCATCTCCAGTACAATGACATACATTACACCACCTCCCCCAATTTACCAGGTCAGTCCCTACAGACCCGCCTAAGAAAGCCTGGTTATAGAAGATACCCAGTGCTATGGATACAGCTTAGCCAACATCAATCAAGCTGGAAATAAGGAATGCTAGGAACACGTTAAGTTATATACTCATGACGCAGTTAACATCTTTCTGCCTAGGTATGGCAATTAATATATCCCCTCCTCCCCCCTGACGATAGAACATGAGCATCCTACACTCTAATGTATTTGCCCAGCGAGGCAGGAAACACTATTATCCCCATTTTACAGATGATGGGCAAAAGAGGCACTAAGGATTAGATATTTTTATCAACGACAAGAATATCCAAAGTGAGATCCTGGCTCCGTTGAAATCAATGGCAAAACTCCCATTGTTCTCAATGGGGTCAGGATATCACCCTCTAAAAGTTAAAATACTGAAAAACAAGATTTTGGGAAAGGATATCAATCATCCTGAGTCAGGGCCTACACTGACCTCTAACCAGTGGGAATCAGGAAGAAATTTTCCCTGTGTACAGATTATCCTATAACTTCAGGGTTTCTTCCACCTCCTTCTGAAACATTGAATACAGGCCACTGTTAATGGCCGGATTCTGACTAGATAGAATGGAACACTAGTTTGACCCACTATGGATCAAACTAGTTTCTATGTTCCTGTGTGTTAATTGCCCAGTGGGGAAGATAGGGAATGCTTCTTTAATAAGACATTCCCAACTCCCAGCACTTCTCTATAGTTAAACCTGTCAGACAAATTTTCCGGCTTAACTAATCATGAAATATCCGGTCGGATACATACAAGTCAAATTATTCCATTTGTATTTTAAAGAGTATTCCAGCCACTGGAAAGCACATGAACAATTGTTCTTCACATCAAGATTCAAGAGATGGCTTTGTAGTGATTGCTAATAGTGTCCTTATGGAGATGGAAGTGTGGTGGGAGGGGAATAAGTTATTTCTACCGTGACACCTCAGTGTTTACCTTGAAGTGTGAATATCCTGAACAGAACCTCTTAGATGTCTGCCTTTTCCTGAATTCCACAAGGCAATGCCATAAAAGACTCAAACCTTGCTCTTGTTTGCTATCAGCACATCGTTATTTACCGTTCAGAATGAAGTCAATGTACTGCAGTCAAACGTGTCCATTTGCTAGACTCTCGGTAGTCTTAGATGCTCACAGTAGGGAGGGTTCAAGTGAAAGTCTGTTGTCCAAATAACATGTAAGTGCTTCCACCCAGCAGGCCTGACTTATTATGCATTACAGTATGGATCACTGCCTATCGGAGTAAATTTCCAAGGCAACCCACAGATACAAAGCAGTGCGTGTGCAGTATCTGAGGGCAGGATGTGAATTTCAATATCCCAACAGGCAGATACTTTTACACACACTCACACAATTTTATTCTACCACAACAGACTGTATTTTTAGAAAGTTACAAGTTGCTCATTTGCTTTACTTCAACTAAACATGGTCTGTTCTTGCAGCAGTTGTGGGAGTATCCATGAAAGTCTACTCCAGAAAGGTGGAAAACATCCACACTGTATACATTTAGGGTTTGATTCAAAACTCATTGAAGCACAGGTTGAAGCTCTCTAATCTGACACCCTCGGGACCTGATGGGTGCCAAAATCAGAGAATTTGAAGAACTACAGGAGGTGAAAATTGTCGAGCAGCATTACCAACACTTCCACTGCTTACGGGACTCTTAGAAGATATTTAGGGGTAAATTAGAGCTAAACAACAGCACAGAACACTGAGCACCAGGACTGATGTAAATCTTTATGGGACTGCAGGAAACTTGGTCACACTCATGGTAAGTGGACATGCGGCTAACAAAAATCATGCTGGACCACGGATGTTGCCTGACTAAAGAGGTTCAACCTGTAAATAGAAAGCTAACCAAATACCCATACCCCTGCATAAAATGATCTTATTAATGAACAATGCATGATGCTACAAGAAGGAGTGATGGGATTAAATTAAAGGGGAAAATGAGGATGCATATTATAGAAATATTTGACAATTGCATTTCTTGGGCTGTGGATGAAGGGAAGTGGCGAATTTTCAAACTAACCAGGACTAAGAGTTAGGAAATAAATTTCGCAGTAATTCTCGAGATGACCTAGCTAATCGAACAGACACCCCTTCCCCCTGCCACCTTGATTTTCTAGATCTCACCTCAAGTAAAATACAGTGGTAGACAGTGGGGGAAGATGTCACAAATTAAGGATTTTTTCAGAGTAATAATATTAATATCAGAGTCAGCATCATATGCCACTGTCCTCTAACAGCACAGTGGCTCCACCAGCTTCCCACCAGAATATTCATAACGCTCGCTTCTGCTCTCATTTCCCCCTCCCCTCCCCCCGAAAACCTCACTGTGTGGGTCTTTGTATGGACAATAGCTATAAATCAAAGCCAAGATGGTGGAAATGCAAATAAACAAAGGGAAAGGAATGTGCACCTGCTGTTTTCTTCTCTATACCAGGGCTGCTTTGTAGCTGGACGTACGCAAACACTTATCTGCCTCCCCTCCTCCCCCACACTTACCTTAAACAGCAGTGTCTAAATAAATCTAATCAGCCTAATGCTCACCAAATCAAGCTGCTCCATTAGGATCCACAATGCTTATGCCTGTATATCAAAAAAGCATCTGAAGAGCAGGCCCTTGGAATCCTCTGGCATCCCATGGGCACAGAGCAGGGAAAATACTTCCTACTATTGCATCTGCCAAGCAGGACTTGGTCTCTGTTCCAGGGGAGCCAATAGCCACACCAGGCTCCTGGGTGGGGAGCAGGGGAGGCTCCGCATTCCCGGAAGGAGCAGAGCCTTGGGAGCAACGACAGGGCCAGGGAGATGGGGGAGGGGGCAGAAGTGAGGGGTCTAGGGTGCAGGAGGGGGCTCCAGGCTGGAGCAGGGAGCTGGGTGTGGGAGGGGGGAAGGGCACTGAGATGGGGATGCGGGCTTTGGGGGGGGGGGAGGGATGAGAGATTTGGGATGTAGGAGGGGGCTCCAGGTTTGGGGGGCAGAAGGGCTTGGGGCTCAGGCTTATTTCAGGCAGCTTCTAGTCAGTGGCACAGCAAAACTAAAGCAGGCCCCCTGCTTATCCTGGGTCCACACTGCACCCTGAAAGTGGCCAGCAGCTCTGGTGACCAGGCGCAGGTGGGGGGAAGGCAGGATAGAAGGGTCTTGCCCACAGGTACCGCCCGGACAATGGAGATTCAGGGCTAGTGCTCTGGGCGGGGGCAGAATATAAGTTGGTGGCCCCTTAAATAGGAGCGGGATGCGCTAGACACTTCCCTGGTGCAGCGTGGTACCAGGACAGGTGGGGACTAGACCGCCTTAGCTCCGCAGCATCATCACCTGGACTTTTAAAGGCCTGGTGAGCGGTGCTGTCTGGAGTCGCCAGGATGCCTTTCTGACCGGGCATTCTAGTCAAAACTCAGGTACCTGGTCACCCTAGTGAGCTTGCACAGCTACATGGATTGTAAGGTTTGTGGGACAGGAACCTCCTTTTTGTTCTGTTCGTACAGTCCCAAGTACCATGAACAGGTCACTCGGGTGCTACCAAAAGACAAATAATACATAACAGCAATCTGACATGGGAGGAGGGGAGGAGGGGGCAGGTCTAGGAAAGACTGTCTTGGAGTTAAGGTTCAGGAGTGGGAACAAAGGAGAGTAAAGCCACATTCCCAGTTCTGCCACCGATTTACTGACTAACCTTGTGCAACCCACTTTAACCATCCTCTGCTTCAGTTTCTCCATCTGCAAAACAGGGCATCGGGAGATGAGCCATTCATAGACTTTGAGACTCTTGGGTAGAAGGGCAAAGTGTCAGTAGCAGCAAAAGGACGGAGCCTGTAAATTCCAGGCATGAATCGCTCAATTGCAACAAAGTTGGAAGGAGACAGATAAGCTTCCAACAATTCATCTGCAATCTGTGCCACACTATAAAAAAAAAAAGACGTGCCCATCAGTAAAGCAGCCTGCTGACTGGCTAGAAATCACTCAAACATTATCACGGAAAGAACAGTACAAGAACAGCAGGTCCCTGCTATACGATCAACCTTTTTCCATTTCAACACTCCCCAGTGTGTGTGTGTGTTTTTTTAATACAGGGCTGGATATTTTCCCACACAGCCCAACACCATTGATATCACATTTTTGCCAGGGTGTATGGAAGAGAAAATTATATTCCTCCTGAATTCATCTCCGTTTCATTGGCTACTCCACAGCACTATAACCCTAAATGAATTCTCTTCTGAAAAGGACAATTAATACATACTTGGAAAGGAGTAGGCTTCTCAGGAGTAGGAATAGCCCCTAATATTCCTCAGTAGCAAAACACAGATGATGGTTACTGAATTGCAATGTGGTTTGGATTTATGACCCGGGGCAGCACAAGTGGTGTAGTAATACTCAGAGCGAAAGACATATACAACAAAGAGAGACTTTTTAACACACAGCTGCAGATTTGACATACTGTCATTAAATATCGGCACAAATGCCAAAACTACTTTACATGACCTGCCACAATGGGCCAAGCTCGGATCTAATTTATATCAGCCTCATTTACGTTCCTCGCAGATATATGGGTTACATTCCAATTTTCAGTAAGTTCTGCTCTTCCTTTTAATTCACAGTCCACTTTCCTTTTCTCATCATCCCTAAAGTAATTTGAATTCTTTTTCTTTACTGTTCTGACAAGGTTTTCACCAGGGCTTTGGACCACGAGTGGGATGTGCAGGCATTACCATACAACAAATCAACCAATAGATACTGTGATGATAGGAGTCTTCGATCTGGTCTCAGTGCTTTGTTACTGATGCAATTCTCCCGAAATGGGAAGAAGTGGTAGTAATAGTCCACCCCACCTGTTCTTAAAAAAACAAACAAACAAAAAAAACACCACACTTTTACTGTAAGTCTGGGACCTATGGTTGGGGTGGTGGGTTGGGAGGTTGTCAGAAGCCAAGTCACAGCTTGAACTGGGGTTAGGTCTGGGGTGGGGCTGGAGCAGGGCTGGGCCCCAGCGCATGTTCCTCTGTGCCCCACTAGGTGAGCGTGCCCCACAGTTTGGGGACCACTGTGGTAAGAGCAGTCAGGGAACCTGGGCAGCTGTCAAGAGCCATAGAACCTGCTCCCGCCTTGGGCAAGTAGGACCCAAGAGCAGCTCCCAAACCATGTCCCTGCCCCTTAGGGCAGGTAGAGAGTCCAAGGCTCTCCATAGTGGCCCAAATGCCCTGGGCAGCTTTTATGACCCAGTTTCTGGCCAGGTGAGGGGGTGGGATCTTGGGGGCAAGGGAGGAGCAGAGACCAGGGCCCCATGTCAGGGGGCAATGTGGGAGGACCCGGATCAGCTGTTCTTTGTGCTTGGGGTCCCAATATTACCTCTGAGCACGTCCCCCCTATCTGCTAACCCATCCTTCCACATAAGTCTAATTGTCCTTGTTACAGCTGGCTACATGATCCACCTCTCACAGTGCTGTCCAAAGTAAGATTATATTTGGTGAGAAAGCAGAAAATACCTTGTATCATTCTTAGCCAACTATCCAAAGTGTTCCCCTTTTCAGTGCTACAGCTCTGTGGTCAGCAGATTAATTAGGAAAAAGGTGTGACTGGGCAGGTGCCCTCATGTATCTAAGTTTGCTAAGATCTAGATGGTATTGTATTGGAGGCTGTCCTTTTTTCTTTAGCCCCATTAAGAAGTAATAATGATCAGAGGCAAGGAGGTGAAACTCATGACGGGAGATTTTCAAAGCACATTTAAAAAAAAAAACAAAAAAAAACAAAAAAAAACCCCACAAAATCCAAAGGTGTTTCTTTAAAAAAAAAAAAAAATCTTTTCAATTCACTTGATTCATGGGATGCGAAAGGCTTTAGTGCAGTGAAGTGTTTGTCTCAGCTGCTCACAAAACCCTGTTACAGGATCTCTTTCATATTTATCAGGAAAGGAATCTGGCGTGGGTCAAAGGGCAGCAGAGAGCAGTTTCGCAGAAGCAGTTAGTATTCAGTGGCTCTCAGCCCTGGCTTCCATTAAATAAAAAAAACCCAAGCCTTTGAAGGAGGCCAGGAAATTGTGAAGGTCATTCCATGTTTTAAAGGTAGTAAAAACGCCTCTGGCAAGATGCGCCGGGGGCCCAATTGAGTGCCAAGATGAATGGGGCTCCCCCCCACCATGGCCCCGAGCTTTCCGAGCTGCATGCTGTAAAGCAGTCGGAGATGAGAACTTCATCTAATGGAGCCTCAACCATCCTTTCCTGGAAATAATGGAAAATCCAGCCCGAACACAAACCTGGCCTCTTCGGAAACCGATTGTTAGTCCTCAATAACAGCGGTCAGCATTTGGGGGAGGCATTGGGCAAGCCCCCTGGGAAGACGAGAAGAAAAGCGCCAGCAGCATTTCCCCAAGACCGGGCTAGCAACCCAACAAGGAAAGACGCAGCCCGATTTCTCCCATTGAAGTCAACAGGAGCAGTGGACGGTCATCACCTCTGAAAAAAAATCAGGCCTCTGCCATGTTCACCCAGGAGACAGCTGCTGGAAGCCACCACTGTTCACTTTGTCTTTAGTAGACGGCTCAGCATTTACACTTCTCCTCAGCCAGCTGGGCACATGTAAACACACACACACACACACACACACACACACACACACACACACACACACACACCCACCCACCCACCCCCTATCGACCTTCTGGCACTTCCTGAATCAACAGCCCGCTAACCTGCCCACCGGCAGTGATTTTATCGTCAGACCACAACAGCTCCCTACTACACCACCGTTACTATGGAGAGGGTTACCATGGAGAGGGTAACCATGCAGATAGTCCCGCGTGGTGACCTCTGACCTGGCCCTAGCCTTTCAAGTTACTGTGCATGAGCCCAATCCCTCGAACACACGAGTAATTGAGCGCGTACGAATAACCTGGTTGACTTCCAATACACCCAAAGTGCGTTAACGAAGGGTTGGCAATGACCTTCTTGTGTTGTGGGTTCCACCTCCAAGAGGAACATGTCTGGCTCAGATGTATCTCCTAAAGATACAGGATTAAAAATCACAATGGATACAGTTCTCTTGTGACCAAAAGAAGGCTGAGGGAGGACATGATTGCACTCTTTAAATATATTAGAGGGATAAATACCAGGGAGGGAGAGGAATTATTTAAGCTTAATACCAATATGGACACAAGAACAAATGGATATAAGCTGGCTAGTAGGAAGTTTAGACTGAGATTAGACGAAGGTTTCTAACCATTAGAGGAGTGAAGTTCTGGAAGGGCCTTCCAAGGGAAATAGTGGGGGCAAAAGATCTATCTGGCTTCAAGATTAAACTAAATGGCTGTGTCTACACTGGGCCACTTATTCCGGAAAATCAGCCGCTTTTCCGGAATAAGCTGCGAGCTGTCTACACTGGCCCTTGAATTTCGGGAAAAGCAACGACGTTGAACTGTACAAAATCAGCCACTATTCCGGAAAAACTATTCTGCTTCCGCTCGGGCATAAGTCCTTATTCCGGAACACTGTTCCGGAAAAGGACCAGTGTAGACAGCCCAGTAGTCTTTTCTGGAAAAAAGCCCCGATCGCGAAAATGGCGATTGGGGCTCTTTTCCGGAAAAGCGTGTCTACATTGGCCACAGATGCTTTTCCAGAAAAAGGGCTTTTCCGGAAAAGCAGCCTGCCAATGT